CAGAGCCAGAAGGTCCCCCCTGAGCCTCCTTTTCTCCAGGCTGAGCCCCCTCAGCTCCCTGAGTTCTCCTGCTGCTCCAGACCCTTCCCAGCTCCCTCAGCTGCTCCTCACCAGACCTGGGCTCTAACCCAAAGTTCTCCTCAAACCACAGCTCTGCAGGCCCTGTGAGGGATCTGGGGGATCTCCTCTGCTCCCCCAGGATTTGCAGCCACCAGTGCCTGGACCAAGCCTGGTGGGACTGGGAGTGCTGGGGGAGTGATCCCAGCCCGGTGGTGACAGTGTGGGGACAATGACAGGCTCTGCCTCACCTCCAGCCAGGACACGACAGTGGGGCCATCCCAGTGAGCAAAGGGCAACCCTTTCCTCCGGGCCTCTTCCAGGAGCTCGTGCCTGGGAGGAAAAGAAGCAGAGGAGTGATTTACTGGGGGTTTTGGGGGGAAGGGAGCAGCTCTTGAAAGGGAACAGACCACGGGCAGCGAGAACCAGCTGGAGGCAGAAGGAGGTAACAGGACTCGAGAGAGGGCAAAGATGAGAGGACTTCCCAGCAACTCCCAGATCCACACCATGGCTTCCCAGCCATCCTTTTCCTGCCAGGGTAGGGAAGGAAGTTCACTCACTTCTTCCGCAGGCGCCGATCCTTCTCGGCCTGAGCTCCCAGCTTGCCCAGGCCCAGGGGGTCCTGGATGCTCCCCTCCGCGTCAGTCAGCACCACTGTGGGGGGAAGGAAGACACCTCCAGGTCAGTGTGACATCCCAGGGTCAGTGTGACATCCCCCAGGGCCAGTGTGGGCACTGCCACTGTTCCCACAGTCACAGCACAGGAGGGACAGTCTCCTCGTCCAACCCACCACGAGGCTCCCCTGCCTCCCTGGGAAACCCGAGGGAATTCCCAGCTGCCACCCCTCCTGTTTCCAAATGCTCAGCGTGGGAGCAGGGAAGGATTTGGGAGTGGAAAAACAGCTCCTATCAAAGGGCTCTGCCAACCCCACGAGGTCCCACAGGGAGGGGAGCAGGTTTGGGGACATCACAGATTCAGGGATGGGGGGTCACCACCCACCCCCCAGCTCTGGCAGAACACCAGAGGTGACACCAACGCTCCGGCCACGGGGAGAAGGCACCAGGTCCCAACCCCCCCAACATTCCCAAAGCAGCAGGGGTGTCCCTGCCCCTCCACCTGTCCCCCAGGAGCACCCCAAGGCCAGGCAGGCTGGGAGGGTGTAGGGCCTGGCACCACATGCAGGGATGGGGCTGTCACAGACCCTGCCCTGTGGCCCCTTCTCTGCTCAGCTGGATCAAGCGACCCTTCTCCTTTTTCCCAAACAAGCGCCCGATGGAGGATTTGATCCCCTTCCTCTTGGAGCCCTTGTGCAGGGAGTCCTGGCTGCTGCTGGGGTTGCTGGCCTGATCCTCCAGCGAGCTGGGGACAGAGGAGGGAGAGGAACAGCAAAGCCTGGAGGTTATTCCCGAGCAGGGCACAAAACCCAACCCGGCTCACAATCCCACCCGTGCCCCGTGTCCATCCCCAAACTGAGGGAGCAGGCACCAGGGTGACCTCCCAGGGGTGCTCCACTTACCCCTTCCCATCCTCCTGGCTCAGAGCAGGGTGGCCCAGCTTCTCCAGCCTCAACGCCCTGGGCGAGGAAGGCGGGGACGTCTCGCACTTGATGGTGGTTTTGTCCTCCCGGCTCTCGTCCCGAGCTGCGGGCGACTGAACAAGTGGAGAGGCCGTGAGGGGGGCAGCCAGAGCCCAGCTCCATCCTTGCCCTGCTGCCTGCCTCTCTCTTGCTCCATGGAGGCATGGCCAAAAGAGCCACCAGAGCCCTGAGGCTTCGCCACGCTCCGGGATTGGCCTGAATTAAGAGCCCTGGCAATGGTTCCAGAGGCCCAAGAGCTCTGGCAATGGTTCCGGCATGGGGAGGACGTGGCCATGTGGCCGAGATCCTGGGAATAGGGAGGTGAGAGGATGCAGCCCCATGGTCCAGGTCAGGGTGTGGAGACAGAAGCTGCTGGCCCTGAGCAGAGGGCTCTGAGGAGCACAGATGGGAACGTCCCAAACGCCAGAGGGGACACAATGTTAGAGGACCCAGTGGCTTTCTGAACCTCCCCACGTCCTGCCAGACCCCCCAGGCTGCCGGTGGGAACGTGTCCAAGCACCTTTGGGGATCCCCATGATCCTCCTGCCGAATCCCTGGGGTCCCCCAGCTCCATCCCGCGCCTGCTGCCCCCTGACCCGGCGTGGGCAGAGCCAGGAGCAGGCTGGAAAAAGGGCTTGGACAAAAACCAACGGGATGGGAGCCACTCACTAGCAGTTTCCTCCGGTGCTTCCTCAAGTCGCTGGGCTGATTGCAAGGGGGAAAGCGAGAGAGACACAGAAAGGGGGGCAGTTAATGGAGAACCCCCCCAGCAGAGCAGGCCCGGGGCCAGGCGTGCCAGGCTAGAGACACAACCACGGGCACCCTCGCTCCACCCCCCCAGACACACAGCCCTGAGGGTGCCAGGGCATCGCTCCCACCCCAGACAGTCACACCCCCCCTGCCCAGCCCCCGGGAGCCCCCCGGGCCCTCACCAGCGTCATGATGCCCATGCGGTCCAGGTCCTGCGCCGCGCTGCGCGAGCTCAGCTTGGGCGTGGAGCGGCCGCTCAGGGGGGGGGACGAGCTGGCCAGGGACAGGGCGGTCAGGGAGGTGGGGATGGAGGCCCTCTTGCAGAGCTGGGTGAGGTTGAGGCCCTCCATGCTGCCGCTCGTGACGCGCGTCTCCAGCTCCTCCGCGCGCAGCTCGGTGGATTCCTTCTCCTCCTGGATCATCCTGGGGGAGCGGGAGGGGGCTCAGGGGGTCCAGCTCACCCCTCCCGGCCACAGGACATCCCTTCCCTGGGGGAAATGCACCCTGGTGCTGTGACTCGAGCCCCCCCAGTCTCCAGGAATGGCAGCAAGATCCACCAGGATCCACAGAAACCAGGGCTGACACACACCGTGGGTTCTTTTAATGCTCATGGGGGGCTTTTTTTAAAATAACGACCCTGTGATCCAGCAGTGGTGCAGCTGAGGGACAAGGAGCCATGGGCAGGAAGGACCAAGCCCTGTGGCTGGATGTTCTGGAGCCATTTCCCTGGCTGAAGATGCACCAAGAGCTGAATTTTAGGGCATCAGAGACTCCTCCCACCTTCTGGCAGCTCGTTGACTCCCCCCCAGAGACACTTCAGCACAAGGCAGGGCACAAGCCACGGTCACTACCTGATCTCCTCATTGATGGCATCCAGCTGCTCCTGGAGCATCATGGCCAAGGTCTGGGCATCCGAGTGCCCCCCAGGGGAGAGCACGTCCATGGAGCTGAAGAGAGTCTCGCGGTCGTCCTCGTCCACGTCCGAGATGTCGGGGTCGCTGTCGAAGCTGTGGGGCCCTGTGGCCAGGACAGCGCCTGCCTGGGCCTGCTCCCAGTCCTGGGGGGGACAAGGGCCACTGGTCCTACATGGCACCCCTGAAAAGCCAGACTGGAGCCCTCTCCACACAGGAGTTACAGCTCAGTGTGACCCCAAGGGAAACCTTC